CCTCCTCCTCCTCCTCCTCCTCCGCCTTGTCGTCCTCCTCCTCCTCTTTCTCGTCCGCCCTTGATGGATTCTGGACCCTGGGCTTTGGACCCCTGGCTCCGGGGACCCGCGTTGACGCCTGTAGACCCATCTTCGGCCCCTGGAATCATCCACGATCCTTGGGCCCCTCCTCGGCCTCGCGAGTACGGCCCAAAGACCCCACGTCCAGGAGGAGGAGGGGGAGGAGGAGGAGGAGGAGGAGGAGGAGGGGCAAGGGAGGAGGAGCAGCATCAAAGGAGGATGTGCAAAAGTAGGAGCAAGAGGAGGAGCAAAAGCAGGAGGGGAGAAGGAGGAGGAGTGGGGGTGATGGGGGAGGGCATGGGGTCAGAGGAGGAGCGGGAGGAAGAGGAGGAGGAGGAGGAGGAGGAGAAACAAGAGGAACAGCAGCAACAGCAGGTGCAGGAGGATCAGGGGCAGGAGGGGGAGGAGCAGGAGGAGGAGGAGGAGGAGAACGACGACGACGACGCATAGGAGGAAACACCCCCCACCCCCACCCCCACCCCCACCCCTCGTGCCTGTTCCTCCTCCTCCTCCTCATCCTCCTCCTCCGCCTTTCCGCCCTCTCCTCCTCGTCCTCCCTCCTCGCCTCTACCTCCTCCTCCTCCTCCTCCTCCTCTTCCTCCTCCTCCTCCTCCTCCTCCTCCTCCGCTTCCTTCTCCTCCGCTTCGTTCTCCTCCTCCTTTTCGTCCTCCTCCTCCTTTTCGTCCTCCTCCTCCTCCTCCTCCTTCTCCTCCTCCTCCTGCTCGTTATCCTCCGCCTGCTCCTTCTCCTCCTCCACCCTCTCCTCCCCGTCCTCGTCCTCATCGTTCCCCTCCTTTTTGTCCTCGTCCTCCTTCTCCTCCCCGTCTTTTGATATATGTGACAGGTCTTTGGCTCGGTCGTGGGGCGTCGAGACGCAAGCAGCAGTGTCGAGACCGCCCCGGGCGACCGCAAAGGCCCCCAGGCTTCTCTTGTGGCCCTAATCGGCCGTGTTGGGGTGTTCGGGGCTCCTCGCTGGCGCCGCTTCAGCCGTCAGGGTGCCCTCTGGTGCCGTCATGGGGCACGGTTGGGGGCCTCTGGAGCCGCAGCGGGGCAGTCTTGGGGACCTCTAGGACGAGCTTGCACCGTCGAGAAACAAAACAGGCTGGGTGGCCAGAAACCCCGGAGAAGCCATGGGAACAGCTAGGAGTTGAGCCTCTGCGGCCCTTGTGGGAAGCCTCTCGCCCGAACTTCGCACCTGGGTGCGCTCGGTCTGTTCCTCTGTTCCTCTAGGAAGCCTCTTTTGCTGGCGAGGTGGCCTGGAGAGCTGTCATGGGGCGATCGTCGGCGTCGCGCAGGCCCGGAGGCGACTCTGGCGGCCCGTGGAGCCTAACTACTTGGGGGCGCTGGCCCTCCCAGGCGGAGCCGTCTTGGATCGCGGTTGGGAGCCCCAGGGGCCCGAACCACATCGGTCTGGGCGCCCTCTTGGGTTGCCGTGCGCCGTGGGGATGCAGAACAAGCTGGATGGCAGAAAACGTAGGAACAAAAAGACACGGGGGAACAACAAAAACAAGGAGTACGGCATCAGAGAGCCATTGGGGGAGGCCTCTTCGAAGCATGCCGTGTCGATCAAGTCGCTCGGGGGGGCTGTCTGCGATCGTCGGTGTCGCGCAGGCCTGGGAGCGACCCTGGCGGTTCGTGGAACCTACTTGGGGGCGCCGGCCCTCCCATGCGGAGCCGTCTTGGATCGCGGTTGGGAGCCCCAGGGGCCCGAACCACATCGGTCTGGACGTCCTCCTGGGCCGCCGTGCAGCGTGGGGATGCAGAACAGGCTGGATGAGTGAAAACGTAGAAAAACCATTGGACAAACAAAGAGTAAGGCCTCAGAGAGCCCCGGGGAGGCCTCCTGGAAGCATGACGTGTCGACGAAGTCGCTCGGGGCTGTATTGGGGTGATCGTCGGCGTCGCAGGGATCTTGGAGCGCCCACGGCCGCTCTGTGACCCTACTGGGGCGCGCGGATCTGGGGACAAGATTGGGAGCGTCTGGGACGAACTGGAACGGTTTGGGCGTCCTGTGGGGCTGCCACGCAGCGTGGGGATGCAGAACAGGCTGCATGGAGAGAAACGTGAAAAAACAATGGGAAAAACAAATGAATGAGCTTCGGGGAGCTCTCTTGGAGGCCTCTGGGAGGCCTGTGAGAGAACTGGGCACCAGGCGGGAGCAGCCCCTGGAGCTCCCTGCAACCTCTTGGGGCTCTCGTGTCTCCGGGCGGGCGGAACCTGGTAAAAACAAGAAGAAAATAAGGCCCCGGGCCCCCCATACGCCCGCAAGGTCCCTGGGCGGGACCCCCCCGGCCACGCCCCCCGCGGCTCTGGTGGCTCCGGGTGGCCGAAACCTGGTAAAAACGGAAGGAAAGTAAGTCCCCGGGCCCCCATGCCCCGCCGAGGTCCCGGACCC